AAAAAAGTACATATAACTCGGAAAAGTCACATTATTACTTGCCGTTGGTAGGTGTCGAACCCGCACCCTCATGCATGAGAAGCGGACGTCTTAAGCATTCGGGCCACCACAACAATCGTTAATTATCTGTGAATTATACCATTTTATCGTAACTGACTAAGTTTTAGATAAAACTAAGACACTATACAACATCACGCACAATTCATTTTATAACAAGCATTAATGGCTGATTTACGATCAAGAGGGGATCGTTATAGCCACTTAAGCTTAGACAATCAAGAAACATGGCTAGATAATAATGTGTGTATTCCTAGACAACACATAGCAACAATGTAAGACCATACCACATTTAACGAGAAGTCATGAGACTTACCGTGAGAGCTATACCGACGTACATATTATGTCAGACTAATGAGGTACTTCCTTCTTCCTACAATTTCTAACAAAGAACGATACATTATGCATTTTCTTTTCGCACCATTGATATATAACTAATCGATATTTGCATAAACGATAGTATGGTAACGATGGTATCGATTGAATTCTCATACATCGATTGTGTTATGCAAATAAAACAGGATAAACTCGGAAGTAATTACGCGATGGTTATGTAACTCAACCCTGAACCTGTATTGAGGTTGGTCGCGGCCAACGAACGCAGATTGCGTGCGACTAATGTGCGACCGACGTTCTTGATCGTTTTAGATAGGTGGAGCCACGGTATAGTCATTTGAATCTCAATAATCTTTTTTGTCTTGTTAGATTTAGAATTTAATTAAGATTTTAAAAGTGATTAGAAAAAGTAGTGTATCGGTTAGTATTTTGCTAATTAATAGTTGAATTCTTTAGCAGTAGATACGTAACATGAACTATGTGAAATTCAGGGAAGTGTTTTAATAATAAGAAAGCTTTCGCATAAATTATAAACATTAATATTTTATCTAACATACCAGACTGCCGTCAAACCCGATAATAATTTCTTTACAAACTTTTCAGCCTGATATTTACAAGAATATTCATGTATATAACTGACAGTTAGTGAACGTCGACCTAAACATCGAAATCTCAGAATCTCCAGCTACCATGCCATAAAGTATAAATACTACGAATCCTATTTAAAAAAGTAGGTACTCGTAAATATTTTTAACATTGGTATTTAATGTTTACATGACAAATCACGACTGAATTAGACTTATAAACGTTAAAACTTATTTTTATGTCACGTCCATCTTTATTACTTTCTTGGCTTACATTCGAAGAAACAGAATGAAACTGTATTCAATTTCATAAGCGGTAACTAAAGTCACGTTCAAATCAATGACGTAAGACTCCATTAGGACTATTTTTAAAAAGAGAACTAAAAAATTTTAGTATGTTATTGGCTCGCGCTAAAATATATTTAAAATTTAAACTGCAGCACTAAATTAAAAATTAAAAAGAATTTTAATAGTATCAAGATCTAACGAGCGCCGTATAAAATGCATTGCACTGATCTATTCGTCATTTGTACCGTAAATTAAATTATTACATATATGAAAAGGCTTCAGAGCTGAATTTCAATAGTACGTTGATTAGAAATTGCACTTCAATTAATTGCTGGACTAGAAATGAATGAAACAGTATGAAAGGAGTTCTAAATGGAACATTTTGTATGATGCTTTGACAGTGAGGTCTTGTATGGTGGCCAGCAAGTTACCCTATAATTCCATCATTTTTTTTTATTACATCTTCAATTTTATTGTATTGACATAAAGTCGAAAATCCAATGAATAAATTTGACAGATTGGAGTAGCTTGATCGGCTAGCCACTGTACATATTCCAAGTAAATTATGAACACTAACTCCCATATTGATGGGAGAAATTACATTAATATTGCGGTATTCTGTTCTCGTGTAGTTCCAGCATAAAATTATTAATTAGTGCTCAGAATTAGACCCTGATTATGAGAGTTGTGTGAGCAAGTTTCCTGGTAATTAATCTTAGTATAATTATTTATGGGATATCGTAGAACGGTATCTCAATCAATTTACTCTTCATTTTACAAATCTTTTATTTGCCAGATGCTTTTCCTTTGCGTTCGCATACCTATATCAAATGAAATGAACGATCTATTAAAATAACTACAACCTTACCGCTTACGCTCGAGGCATTTTAAGTTTACGTTAATTAAACTTCAAATAGGCTGTCAGTTTAACAGAACTTATATTAACTTGTCCGTTTATGCAATAAACTGTCATAGTAATGAAGAACTCAAACCTGATAGCAAAAAATAACTAAAGACTGCTGTTATTACTAAAACATTTTTTGTCCAAAATTTCGTTTGTCCAGTATAAAATCACGATTCAATAAACAATAGGATTTCCAACTAAAAGTATGACCAAGAAGTTAACAGAAAATTCCGATAGTTTAACAACCTTCAACTATCGCGATCAGTTACGTCACGATGCTGGGATCATGTCAAGATCGCGAACCAAAGATTTGCTCTTATGGTAAACATGTCGTGTGAAGAGAACTGTCCTACAATTGACCTCTTATCCCTCTGTAGCGGAGAGCAACTTTATTTGGATACTGCCTTTGTATTTAATGAACAGGTTTAAAAAGTAAGTATAATAAATCTAACTCAATGATCAGTCTTCCATAGTCAATGATGTATCATACGAACCAATTCAGCAATAGCCGGGCAAGTTGCATGAAGGAGATAACCAAAAACCTTTTAAAGTTGGCAGTAGCTATAAAAGATAATTAAGTATCAATAGTTAAGTATCAACACCTACAAGGATAATTAAACCCAACACAAATTACGAAGTAATGAACATTTCAACAACAATCTTAAGATAAAAAATTAATAAAGAAAACGCACAAACACGTAAAAAACATAAAAAAGCAACGCATGACAGGTGAAGCCCATCCCAAAACCGTTGAGACAGTTTAGATCGTTCAACTTGAACGTGACGTCCGGTGCTATTTAGTAGAAAAAATGCCAGTTCGAGGATCTAGCCCGACTCGGTAACCCTCTCCTGAGTCATCTCAACCGCAGTACCCTGTTATCGAATACAAAATCAGTACGGTACTGACGGTCAAAAAGAGCAGTAACTTCACAAAACGATAACATCCGACACAATGAGTGTCCGACTCAATCGCGTTCTGCGGCAAGTGTTGTTCATCATGGTGAGGATACAGATACAAAATTCATTAAAAGTGGAACAATTAAAGCAAAGTGAAATTGTAAAGGATACGCGGAATCTAACGCAGATAAAGACACCTTTGTTTGAGTACTCAATGAATCCGAAAAGCAAAAGTTAATCACAACGCTGACTAAGTTTACAGAAAGAAGTGAAAGTTACCTACGATTATAAGAGCAAAAATTTGCGAAGTTGTATCAGCAATAAAACATTTCCTTTTGTGAATACAAACGTGAAGGTCAATTGGGAGCAAGCCAGTGTATTATTTAATGTTGTTAATGCAATTATGAGTATTTTCGTACGAGTCTATAAAAAAGAAAGTTTATTACACAATGTTGCTTCGAAAATATTTGTTCCTTTTGTAATTTTGAATAGAATCAGTACGCGGAAACAAGATTTAAATTGGGGTTCGTTATATCTTGCTGTAGTGTTCACTTTTCGCCTTCTTTTTTCATCTGTGGGCTTATGTGCTCGAATTCTGTATTATTAGAATAAATCATAGGGTCCGCAACAGTAACATGATTAATCAATGTCGGTAAATTAACCTTGAGAATTTTAATTGAAGTTTTACGTTCTTTAATTGGACCTTATTAGAAAATAATGCGTAGCAGTAACCAAAACATTATACTTTTAATATTTCGATCAAAAAGAAAGTCAATATCTTTATTTTTCATTTGAATCGTGAGAAAACTAACGAAACTGAATTAAATTAAAGAGGCGTTGAAAATGGATAGGTAACCAATTCGACTGCAATTACATTTAATATTCCACGTCGAATATGAAACTGCGTTGAACGCAATAAAATAAAACTATTGATAACAGTTATCTACTTACTAAAATTGAACTGGCTCCCATTATAGCATTATGTCTTTTGTGTAAGGTAAAAGGAAAATTATTGTAACAAACACGAGCACCAGTTGTGGACACAAAAAGCTCTTTGTTGTGAGTTAGTCTGATGTCAATATATACGGGTTAGTGGGACAGATAAGTGAGTACGTTGATCAACTTATGATGATAGCAATCCAAATTGGATCTCTCAGCAGGTGAACAATGTAATTGTTCGTAGGATGATGCCATCACATGACCGCCTCCGATTACGATAACGATTGCTCTTACCTTATTTACCATTCTGCTTTCTTCTAAACTCAGTTTTATAAACAGAGAAACATCCAAAACCGATCTCTTTAAATGCATAAGTTCCGTACCTAACAAGTTTATGTCCAAAATTAAATTAAAGGCGCAAAAAGTAAAACGAAATGGTCTTTTGTGAAAAAAGCTACAAAGGATAATCGTCATTTAACAGGTTTATTAACCTGATCCAGCAACAAACGTGACGAAGTAATCGGCAAATCGCAGGGTACATGACCGTGAAGCATTGTTATGAGTAAGAACCACCGCGCACGAATCACTCCTTTCGTATATCAACACTAAGCTTCAAAATCTCTCGACATAATCCTTGTGTAGCTTAGGAAATACCTCGCGAAACAAGACGTCTTCCTCAGATCACAAGAAGAATGAATAAGGTATATACGCAAGAGCGTTGACACAGAAACCCTCGGCGAGACAAACGGGGATGAATGAGATTGTGGTTCGCGATCCGAGACCAACCTCGAGCGATTTCCCATCATTGTTGCGATAACTAATGACAAGTCGGATAAATTGACGCACTTTCAACGGATACATAAATCGCTACACTGCATTCTTATATTACTTGCGAAAATAGCTTCATTGACAAATAGAAATGGCATTCCTTTGATCATTGTTCCGGCTGTTATAATGGTTGGAGATTCATAAATCAACTTTTTCTTTGGTTTCAGACGGTGCCCCTACCCGCCGGGTCGACTTCGGTGTTAGCGAAGCCGACAAAGTACCACTACTATCCACACAATCAGCACATCTATTTATTGCCTGAATGCGCTATTCAACAGGTAATTGACACTTTTGTTCTAAACAAAGTACCGGAACTAAAATAAACGAAATGCTTACAAATACTATGACTAATCGATAGGTCTGCCGCGTCCAGTAATTGAAGCTGCAAAGCTCTTTTAAAACCTGAGCGAAGATAATACCAAAAGGTTTCTTAACTTCTTCGTATTTTCCACGCCAACATCTATAGACGCGGAGCGAATGTGTTTTTGTTCTAAATATAGTGCAATGTCAGAGACCGTTACTACTAACAAAATATTACATCAAATATTTAATACCGGAACAAAGTTAACTATTCAAAGCGATACCCTTTCCACGAAAGCTAGCTTTCCAGAAATGGCTTGGCGATTAACTATTAATGATGCGATTCTGGAAAGTCTGTTTTTTTAACGGGCAAGACAACATAAGTCATGAGATGAATGAATATAATATCAATAGTGAAGAATTTAACCCACATGTGTGGAACGGGGAACGATTGCAATGTTCAGTATGTTGGTTCGTTAGCTTCATAAGGCGGTAACGTTACAGGTATGCAATGCAGTGTACGTGCGTCTGAACTACACGCAGCCGCTGTGCGCGTGCCCTGCTCGGTACAGAGACCCGTGCTCCGCGAGTCTCAACGCCGACGACCTGCATACTACGCGCCTCACCACCGACTCGAAAAAAAAGGTAACGCTCCAACATAATTGGATTTAGTATTCCCATAGTTACTTTTTGTAGCAAAGTTGCCATGTTTGTTGTAAAAGAAAATGGTTTTGTTTAAACCAATTCTTCTAGCAATGGTACTTGTAAAGTAAGTAATGTACACAAGAGTGTTCTACAAATGTTTATATGACAAGATTGCGTGCAAGCTCTAATTTAAAAATACTATTTTAATTTGCAAACATATGATTAAGTCGTTATTCCGATTATCATCTTGTAGATTTATTATTAAAAGTTAAGACATTCGTTAATGCAGAAAAAGGCATGCAATGCAAGACCAATAAATTTATTAACCTGTCTGGTCGTGTTAGCGATAACGTACTAATATAAGCTCCACTTTTATTACAGTTCGCTAGTAAAGCTGTTACACTAGTAAAGACGTGCGAGGCGGTGTCTGAGATGAGAGAGTGCCGGGCGCCTAGAGACTGGTCACTACTAGCACTACAAAACATTAGAACCGGCAAATCACACTACTTGGTTATCTGTCGGTGTCCCGAAGACCACATATTAGGTAAGCTATGCATTTCTTGCTACAATAATACTGAACACACTCAGAATGCGCAAAATTCCCAACGAGGTACAACTATTTATAGTAATTTCCTATTTTGATAACCTTACTAAGGCTTTTGATAAAGCTAGCTTGCGACTAAGTTGGCGTTATGCAATGTAAGTTTATACTTTACTCGCGGTTAAGTGTAGGCTGAATAGACATTCCGTGTTTAAGTGCATTTGCTTAAGAATTTTTAATCATTGTCACGTCAGAAATGCTTACCATTAGATTTCCGCATGGAGTGCCGCAAGGGACAATCTTAGGGTACATACCTAACTGAGAAGTGCATTGTCCATTATATTTGGTGAAGAATTCGTATTATCAGATACAGTTACCTACATGGTTGTGACTACGATATAAGGGATCTTGTATACCATGTTTGTTGACACTTCGTGTAGTATTGTATGCAGTACGTTATTGTATTGTAAAGTGGCTACTATTTAGCCAAATAAGCATTATAGTGAGTTATGAAATAAACGCACGCTTTACAAGAGTTATTAAATTTTAACAGAAGACATTTGTTAAGCGTAACTTTACATAAGTCATGTTAACCTTATCAAGCTATTAAACCTGTCTACGAGATTATTTATAGTAATATTGGCAATGTTTATGTTATAGAAGGACCCATGTCACATGATCAGCCAACGTATGCGTCTGTACCAGGCATCAGAGTGTATGGAATGATGTGTGTGCGACCTACGACTGCTTACCATTCTGGTCAGTACTATATTAACTAATTTAATCAATAGCTATTATCCTGTTCCTGTTAGGACTCCATACTAATGATATTTTTCTCATTCCAGCATACCACAAGAACAGATACACCGGCTTAACCGTTCAGAGTACCACGAGCGCCTACAAAGTGGACTATTCGCAATCACATGGGTATCCCGACAAGCCAGTGTACAACAGATATCACACACACAGCTATACAGAACCTTACTATAACCGGAGATCTCGAGTCGCAAGGACTAGACGATCGCCATCAGAATACCCCCCATTCCCATGGTACAAAGTTATGGAACTAGCGAGGTCATTACATTGGATCAACTAGAAACTAACCTCCTTTAAATTTAGAATGAAAAGAGTTTGTTGGCTTCATAGAGGCTTTATATTAATCGGTTCCGCCTCTTTGAATTCAACTTATACTTGAAACATATTTAATTTCGAAACGCTTTTTCGCTTATTTATCCGAATTTTAGTTAATACTTGCTTACTAACTTTCCCATTCTAAACGTGATGGTTTAGTGTGGTGAAATTTAATTTTGGATGCCTATTGAATACTCAGTACAACTGCATTTACTAGGATAATGAACAATAATTTAATTTATTGAATTAAAATAGTGAAGCTGTTTTGTAAATGGTGGGAATGTTGTTAGCCATTACTCGCTGCTAGGTACCTCAAAATTTGGCTTTTTACACCATATATTCCCATATTACGCACTCAATTGCCATGTTTAATATCAGAATCAATGTTTAAGTGAATGTAAATACAAATTCTTTGGAGGAAAAGTGGTACGTTTGTGGAAAAAATATGCAGCAAAGCAGCGCGTCGGTACATTTCAATGAATACCGTAAGCCCGATCACCGTTAATCAATACTGGCTGGATTAAAACGTCATAGAACCCGAATACCACTAAAAACTTAAATTAGTTTTCACAAAAACATTTTAGAACAATTCCGTTTCACAAGTAAATTATTTGTATTATTTATTTTATGTATCTATTAACTTTCGGAGTAATTTAACGTATCTAATAAAATTGCCAGAAATAGAAATAACCATGACTATTAGTTTTTAAGAATTGGATTATTATAATTTCAAAATAAAATAATTATTTTCTCCCCACCTGTAGACGGTGATTACATAATAAATTATAATTAAAAGGTATTTTTTATTGTACACAAAAGATATGTGATAAGTTTTCAATGATTTTTTTTTTGTGTAACATTTCAGTGCATTTATAGTTAATGTTTAGTTGTAATTTTAATAAATATTTATTTAAGAACCATATTTATACTTAGAGTAAAATGAATTGTAAATATTAGATGTAGAAATTACAATATTTGTAATTATGGAAAAATAAATTTAACGGATTTTTCATACTGTTTCTCTCACCCGCCGTATCTGTTTAAACATGTTTATTCGAATTAGAACGTTGTATCCCTGTAATAAAGTTCAGATTACCATATCGTAAGGAGAAAAAGGACTTACCTAATACTTTCTGGTCGACGACGATGTCGCAGGTGTACATCGCTGCCATCAAACGCTGAGGTTGTGCTTGGAAAGCTTTTCTACAGGCGTCTCTGACTGTTGACATGATTTGACCTGCATAGTAACATAAATATTAGTTAAACACTCATTTTACTTAATTTAACATTTAGGATTTATAAAAATTAATATTGCATAATTACATGGGACTCGTAACATAAAATAGTGAAAAGTGGGTGTTACATTGTACAGTGGCATTAAGTACCGTATATAATGTATGTACATCTCTGCCTACCCCTTCGGGGATAAAAGACGTAAAGAAAGAAGAAGTATTGCATAACTATATTAACTTTGAAGCCTTGAAACGACACATTATTACGTTACATTCATGTCATGTAATAGTGGGTTGAGCCCTGCCATACATGAGATACAATTCAATTCAATTTGCCTAACCCGAGAATCGATCCCAAGTGGAAAAGTATGTAACATTTGTCAGATGTATCTGTTCATAAATTATTTGATTTCTAATACATAACATCACGCCTTTTATGCAAACAAGGCAGAGGTGCACATTATGCTACTGTACAATGTAACACCCACTTTTCACTATTTATGTTATGAGTCCCCATGGAGGTGATTTCTAAATGTTTGACATACCTGACAAAGGTCCAAAATGCGCCATATCATCTCCAGCGGACTTATCCAAAGACCATTCTTCGACACAGAACGCAACTCCCATCATTGGCTCATCACACAAAGGCCCAGCCAAGGAAGCCAACTGGAACCCATTCACAAAACTACTCTCATACTCAAACCTCGGATCCTCCTTTATCTCCTGCTCATGATGAAGATACTTCGTTCTATAATCTGCAGTCTGATTGAGAAGCAAATTTGGCCCACAATTCCTAGGGCCTACAGACCATATTTCTTTAACCAAATCCTTCCATTCAGGACTTAGTTTATCACATATACCCTGCAATTCCTCTTTAAAAGTCTGAATAAGTTTCAACATACGATCGGACAGTTTATGCTTCGTTCCATTAACTTGTAAATTTTCTAATTTAGTTTCTAAGCTATCATTTTTGTGTAATCCTTGCAATGTTTTTATGTGTTGTGAAATTGCTTTGAGTAAATCAGTTGATTTGTCTAGTAAAGCCGTTATTTCATTCGGTATTGGCTTCGCTCTAATCTTTATCCTACTTTGTTTGTTATTTGTGTACACCGTTATAACTGGATCTACGTCTTTATCTGTGGTCTTATCTATAACGTTTTGGGTGTCAATTTCTTCGTTCGCCATGTCTATTTTTGGCGGTTCTACTATTGTTTCTCTGAATGGAACGATTGGTTCTGATACTGTGATTGGTATTTTTGCGTATTGATTCCTAGAAGAAAAAGTAATAGATTAAAATCATATGAGAACATATTATTTACTTTGATATGTATTCTACACTTTTATTCTTCGGTAAGGTTGGTAGTGCAGAAATTCTATGGTGCACTCATTTTTGCTATTTAAATTAGGAGTCCTATATTAAAAACGAGATAATTTATAATAGTAGGTCATCCTTTCTTTTGACATAAATACCATTTATTTAACTTGAGTAAACACTATCTTTAAATATATATAATTCTGCTGTACATGTGTATGTCATTGAACTCCTTTTAAACGGCTGGATGGTTTAGATTCACAAATCAGCCCGGCAGATGGCGCTGCAGCCGGTGTCGAGGTTAGTTATCCTAAACGGCTGAACTAATTTGAATTAATTTTTGTTTATAAATTCAAGCGGATATGCAGGACAACGTCTGTCGGGTCCGCTAGTTAGATATAAAAAATAGGGACTTACTTTAAATCTTCTAGACATCTCTCTAAATGTATTTTACCAGCCGTGACCAGCACGTGTTCACCTGTCTCCTGCAGTAACACTTGAACACAGGAATCTGCTTGGTTAAGAAGTTTTAAACCTGAAACAAAGACAGTATTCATTGTATTGAAGTAATCTAAGCGAAACGTGATTAAACGAAATAGATCTCAGTTCCAATATCATAAAGTTCATTCTTACATAAAAACACATATAGCCCTTTCTAGTGAGTAGCTATTTCATTTTTGAAAAGTTCAAGTTAACATTCATTTTGTTACAAGAACACTAGTCACTCGACAATCCTGGGTTAAAATAATATTTTTGACAGATGTGGTAATGAAACCTGCGAATCTACGATTACTAGTCGCATATAATTTTATAATACACTAGATTTTAACAGCAGCTCTGCCCACGTATTCCTGTTTTATCTCACGGGAGTATTTATCACAATGAAAAGAGCTGACTTAGGTGGTATCCTACCACCAGCTACAAGTCAGCTTATACCCTGCCTGTACATCAAATTTTATTAAAAATCCGTTCAGTAGTTTCAGCGTGATTGACGGAGAAACATCTAAACAAAGAAACTGTGAAATTTATAATATTAGTGTGATACTCAAGACAGATCATTTTGACTATAAAATAGTTGACTAGAATGACTTGTTTTTGAGAGATTATCGTGTAACAAACATGTTATTCACATATTCAGGATGTTTAAATTCAATGTAACAAATAATATTCCCATACCTTTAACCAATTGAGGTAGTTGCGATGGATACGTAGGTTCTAAAGCAACCCTTAATATCGGTACTACTGAGTATTGCATCTCACTAAATGCTGGACAAGCTATCGTACTAGATAATGTCGCCGTTCGAAGTACGTGGTCCTCTAAACCGCCGATACCTGGAAAAAGAAAGAATAGGTAAACAGAACTTTATTTATATATTCTGTACGGGTTTTTTTATGGGACAAGCCCGCCACAACCTCCCAATACCGCTGCAACTCCTGTAAGCCAGGATCTACAGTAGATACGACCATGAAAACACCGGAACACTGAAGTCCGGCGCGTCCCAGGGACTGTACGGGTTATAAAACTTCGTCCGCTCAGAATATGATTCCTGTTTTGTGCCATGGGAGCACATAATCGTCCTATGGCCTAAGTCAGCCCATATATCAAATTTCATCAAAATCCGTTCGGTAGTTTCATCGTGATTGACGGACAAACATTCAAACAAAGAAACATTCACATTTTATAATATTAGTGTGGTTATTTGATAAGATACGATAAAAAACCGAGTAACGCTTCAGCCCATCTAAGAATCAATCGTGAAGGTTTCCTTGATCGAAAACTCGAGAATCACAACTTTCACTACTCGAATAATTTAATTATTCACAACACATAGTATATCTACGTCAGTGCAAGACAATCACACATTTAAAGAATACGAAAATAAGCGAAACTTTTTCGTCATACCGATGTAAAGCAATTTATTCTATTCAATGTTACAATGAATAGTTTTGACTGCCTTGTTGGCGGAGTAGTAGCAAGTGCGACTGCCGGGCAAGGTGGCATTAAGTGCCGTAATATGCACCTCTACTACCCCTTCGGGGATGAAATAATTGATGTTATGTTATGTTATGGGAAAAGTTTGCTTTTCAACAAAAATCTGCTCTAAAAACTTAGTATAAAATGACTCACCAATAATATTCCCAGCAATTGCTTCATCTATCATTTCTAATTCTCGTCCCATTAGAATATACAGGGATTTGATCCTGAAAAAAGAAAATTACTATTATAATATTAGCTTCCTAAGAAATTAAGGATTTTTCCTAAGGATTCTTCCATTCCTAAAGAAAAATATCAAAATATCAATATATAATTAATTTTTTTTATGACATAGGCTGGTAAATGAGCCGACGGATCACCTGATGGTAAGCAATCGGCGTCGCCCATGGACACCTGGAACACCAGAGGCGTTGCAAGTGCGTTACCGGCCTTTTTATTAGGAGTTTGAGGATAGTTGGGGATTCAGGAATTCGGGAGATTGGGGAAGGGGAGGGTAATTGGGCCTCCGGTAACCTCACTCACACGATGAAACACAACGCAAGCGTTGCTTCACGTCGGTTTTCTGTGCGGCCGTGGTATCACTCCGGTCGAGCCGGCCTATTCGTGCCGAAGCATGGCTCTCCCACACTTTAATTCGTCCATCAGTTAAATAAATGAAATGCAATAAAACATGCAATTAGCTTCACTGACAGACAGACTAACTGACAGACAATTAAAATGTTGACGTTTCAAAAGTGCCAGGGCATTAACTTTGAATTTAATATCACAAAAGTAATAAATTTTACTCACTCAGTGCAAGTGATATGCTCATCACTCTGCAAGTCCTTAAGTTTCTTATTAGGATCTACTTGGAAGTCTTTACTAAGTACTTTGGCGGGGTCATGTTTGGGGCCTAGGACATAAACCTTGTCCCCTTTCTTTACTTTCCCACTAAATATTCTAGCAAATGCGATGAATACTGGCTGATCTTCTTCACTGGTCTTTTCTACATCATCTTCTTTTTTATCTTCTTCTAAAGGAGCAACTTCAACAGTATTGTTCTCTTTCTTTTCTCGTAGCTGTCTGGCTCTCTCCCTCCTCAAAGCCATCTCCTCAGCCGTCAAGACCTTTGGCTTATTCTCCGGCAATATACTCTTATCAACATTATACATTTTAGATATAAAAATAATTATTGGTCTATCTTCACTACTATCACAGGCTAAAAAGTCTTCCTTTAATTTCTGTGTTTCAGGGAAAAAGGAATTGAAATCACGTATTCTTGAGCACATTAATTTTTCTACCTTTTCTGGTAGAATTTCTTTTGGCGATGGGAGTTTTTCGCAAACCATGTTAAGTACTGTGCTTGATAGAGGGAGCCACTGGACCATTAGGGACTGAAGTTGTACTCTGGAGTCAGTATGTCTCAAATCCCTGGTCGTTAATTTTATGCCAAGTTTTTCACAAATAACAGGGACTTTTTCCTTTTCATTTCTCATTGCTACTGTTTCGTACACATTCCACAGATTATCTAATATAACCTGGACAAAAAGCGGTTTCTTAGCTTTTTCTTGAGCTCCCTTCATGAAGCGTTTTGTTTTGGTATTCAAATAGAAATCACCCCATAACACTTTTCTTAAGATTTCTTCTTTAACACCTGAAATGGAACCAGATCAATATGTTAAATAATAAAAAAAAATATTTAGCAGTTTACAACGTCAGGAGTCCCTTGAATTCAAGAGTAGTTCATGACACAATCGGTTTTTCCTTGCAACAATAATTATTGTTTATAAAAAATATTTTCTCGCATACACTGGAAATAAAAAGATTTCAAATTAATAGGAAGTAAATATGAATAAAAACTGTTCCACTTACCAAGTTTCTCAGAGAACAATTTAGCAAAAGTATGTATAGTAAAACCCCAGCCATCAGCGGCACTAGCAAATACCACATTGCCATGTTCAGGAGCGAAATAAAGATTGGAGTCGTCAGCATCATCCAGAGCGGAGGTCCAATCATAGAAGTTATTGTCTTCTTTTTTCTCTACTTTTTCTTTTTGTTGCTGAAAAAATATAATATTGTTTTTATATAAGTTATTAAAGTCGCAGCGAGCTGCTGGATGCAGGTTGCTTCCAATCCGTCCAGCCTCTCCACTAACTATATTATAGACCTTATTTCCGATGTTTAGAGACTACTTTTATATGAACAAATTTAGGATGATTTTCAACAGGTTAAATAACTATGACACATTATTTACCTCTTTCTCCATAGTAGACTCCTCATTCTCAAACACCTCAGTAGTGAACAGTTCTCCCATAACCGCATTAACTTGTTCTAACACCTGCATCAAGTGCACATACGCATCCAATGGTGTTAGCTGCATCTCTAGGATGAGCCTGTCAATTTTGTTCAAGACTAACACTGCTCTGATATTCTCTGAGTATGCTTGTTTTAGTACCAGTCTGGTTTGTGGGCAAACACCTTCTACCACATCCACCTGAAATATAGAGAATAGAAAATCAATGGTGGATTTTGATATTTAACTCGTCGAGTACCGTCATTATAGACACAATTATAGAACAATAGGTTGCGGTCACCAGTGACCGCTTGGTGTTTGACAGTTTAACTCAATTCTAAATCTTTGGATTAAGGTTTATTTTAACCATTCGCTATAATGGAGTGTCTGTCAAAAATTAAGATTCAATTCATACATTTTGGATTAAGATTGTTTACTAATTTCATCCCCTAGTGGATTGAGAGATTGTATATAATTCATACTAGGGTAACTAGTTATCACATTCACTGTTATCAGTTGCATAATATTTTTTGCGAAAAAAAAAATGTTACTGTAAATATTGTGAAACCCTTTATCAGCTGTTGAGTAAGCAGAGAAATATAATTTATGTCACTTAATATAAAGAATTAAAATAGCTATTCTAATATTGCTCTGATGAACTGATGATTGACTTATGTTGTTGTTTTGACTTTAAAAATAATAAATATCATTTACTATCCTTACAGAGATAAATCTCAACATAAATTAATGTATTATAATAATTACTGTACTTAAGGTTCACTTTCCTATAAATAAAATAATAAAATACTGACATAAAAATAATTATTTACTCACAACAACAATAGCTCCATCGCAAAGTCTGACTGCGGTAGACACTTCACTGGAGAAATCGATATGTCCTGGTGAATCTATCAGGTTTACCAAGTACTCCTGCTGGTCCACACAATGGTACAAGGCTATGCTGCTACTCTTCATGGTTATACCTCTCTCCTGCTCATCAGGCCTGCTGTCCATATACCGCAGCTTTCCTGACATTCGCTGCGATATTATCCCATTGCTGGCTACAAGAGAGTCTGCCAAAGTTGTTTTCCCATGGTCCACGTGCGCCACAATACAAATATTTCGAATATTTGTAGGTTTGTTTTGAAGTTCTAAAAGTTTTGAAGAATCGACGAGCCGCATTGTGAAAGATATCACTTAACTTTTTCGACGTACTTGCAACACAATGTCCTTAGAGTATACTGATAATTTAGAAGGTGGATAACTCAGAAGATATTGCAAAAATTACAAGAAAAATTGCACAACATGGGTTAAAAACTTGCACGACAATATTGAATTTGATAATGACACTGAGATTTTAGTTCAGAAACGATACACCATTTTGTTTTTGTTGATCTCAGTGAAGTGAAGTTACTATCAGAATGTTGTTATATTTTGATATAACAACATTCTAATTAATTTTTAAAACTTCTAATGTAACTAATCTAATTTCTAATTTAATTTGATAAAACTCAGCCATTTAAGCAATAAATTGTCTATATAAAACGGCACTTTCAAAAACTGTAAATGTCACAATGATTTCTAAACGTACAGACCGAATCGACACCGACTGACATTGACACTGACAGTTCTTTTGACAGTGACATTTTAATTGGAAGTGGAGATTTCGGTTTGAGGTTATATTGTTTATTGGTTTTAAAAATAAGAATAAATGAAATGGCGTTAAATAGATTGTTCGCTAGTTTAGCAATTACTCCTAATTTAATTTCGAGGCGGGCCATTCATGTAGCTGCCGTAAACTTTGCCAGTCACCCGGATATTGACAAACCTAAACCTGGTTTGGGCAAAAGTTACAGGCGTATTGTGCATTTTCCTGAGCAATATACTGTTAAACCGCTTGAAGTTACAAACCTAGCTGGTAGAGACCCAGTGTCTGGTAAGTTATATAATTATTTACATTAACTATTTCCTAGAAGTCACTCAGTTGACTTTGCAGTAAAAGTGATTTTACTTCTTCAGGAAGGGTTATTGCAAAAGGTATTGGAGGTGGTATCAAACATAAATATCATTGGATCGATTGGCTCAGAGATGGACCTAAAGAGGGACCTCCACAGGAAGAAAAAGTCATTCAGGTCAGGAAAAGAAAATAAACTCTCTTTACACAAGAAAATCTTTAACATTTCATTCCAAATTATAAAATATTTTATTTTTTTTATATTAAATAGGTAATGGAAGATGGTTGTAGAACAGCATACATAGCCTTAGTGGCTGTTGGTGATAAACTCAAATATATTCTAGCCACAGAGAATATGAAGGCAGGTGACATCATCAAATCTTCCCGAGAACTCCCTAGAAATCCAGGTACAAAATAAACTGCACTCTGAATTAGTAGTGATAAGATCTAAATTCAACATGAATAACACTAATATTTTCTGTTTTCAGTCAGAGCAAATGAAGGAGATGCCTATGTATTGGGAGCATTACCTAATGGAACTGTTGTTCATAATATTGAAAAAGTACCTGGTGAGTGAAAAAGAATATAATACTTACATGTATATTTGCACCCATCATCAGGTCGATTGAAATACTATCTTCTTTATATATTTATATAATTCTGCTGTATGTATGTATGTCATTGAACTGCTCCTTAACGGCTTGACCGATTTAATTGAATTTTTCTGTATGCGTTGAGTAGCGCTCTGGATGGTTTAGATTCACAAATCAGCCCGGCAGATGGTGCTGCCGTCGGTTTCTAGGTCTAAACGGCTAAACTGATTTGATGAATGAAATTTTGTTTATACATTCAAGTGGATATGCAGGACAATGTCTGACGGGTCCACTAGTTTACCTATATGACTAATAATTATTATGCATTTCACTGGTCAAGATCCAAGTGGTCACTTCGGTCAAGTGACCATTCTCCACTATAGACTACACTATAGACCATTATAGACTTTATTTCTGATGTTTAGAGACTACTTTTCTATGAACAAATGTTGTGGATTTTTCATAATCGAATCGAACATTTAAGAGTTAACCCTATTCTTGCAAGGGATTAAAGTGTAATTTGATTGTTATAAAAATGATCAGACTTTGTTGGTAATGGAATTCCAAATATGTTGTGAAAATTAAAACTGTTCGGGACTTCTAGAGGACAGTGAGTCCTTTGTACCACTAAGATAACAACAATATTTATGTTTACAGGTGAAGGTGCCCTGTACATACATGCCGCTGGTACATTCGGCACTATTCTAAGGAGACAAGATGATCGCATCATTGTTCAAATGCCTTCAAAGAGACTGTTTAGTTTCGACCCACATTGTATGGCAGTTGTAGGTGAGTAACCATTCATTTAACCTACAAAGTTCTTAGTCAGCTTGTTTTCATACCAACGCATGTTATCATTAACTTAAGTGTGGGAGAGCCATGCTTCGGCACGAATGGGACGGCTCGACCGGAGTGATACCACGGCCTCACAGAAAACCAACGTGAAGCAACGCTTGCGTGGTGTTTCGTCGTGTAAGTGAGGTTTACCGGAGGCCCAATTACCCTCCGCTTCTCCAATCTCCCCAATTCCTGAATCCCCAACGATCCTCAAACTCCTAATCCCCAAAAGGCCGGTAACGCACTTGTAATGCCTCTGCTGTTCCAGGTGTCCATGGGCGACGCCCATTGCTTACCATCTGCTCGTTTACCGGCTTATGCCATAAAAATAAACTTCCCTTTTCTAAATACCTTTGTAATCCTACTTATTACACACTTAAGTAAACAAAACAACCGATATCTTTTAGTAAGATATTGCGATGCAAGTGTTACTAAAAATTTGTATCAAAAACCTATGACCACACAAAAATAAGGTCTCCAAATTCACTTTCAGGTCGTCTTTCAAACGTGGACCATGGAGACACACCTATCGGTTCACCTCAACGCAATAGGTGGCTCGGTAACAGACCTCGCTCCGGTCTATGGCAAAGAAAAACCGGTCGCCACGGAAGAAAGATCAAACCTCCAAAACCAGTGAAAGAAATCTGTGCTCCAGCGAAACAGGCCTTACCAACCATCAACTTGTCTATGCACCCTTAAAATAATTTTGTAGAAATAAATGTAATTTAGATGTTTTCAAAACTGTTTTATTTTATAAATTCACCTATAGATAAATATCACAACATACAAAGCTGCGCTTTTGTGCTATATTTGAATGTATAGTTCATTTATACATATCATCTACTAATAATTATAATTTTGACACAATGAAGCTTGCTCAGAATCTTAATACTTCAATTTAAATGCATAATTAATCAGCACAAAAAGAGATTTTAAATACAAACATTAATATCTTGGAATTACATTATTTTAATCTTCATCTTCATCCGATAATGTCAGTATCTGAAATTAATAAGTTCTTATTTCATTGATATAAAGCAGATTTTAGGAAATACAACCTTGTGTGCATTTTTCAATTCAAATTACATAAACTTATGAAGCAAAAAATATCTTTACAAGCTTTCCTATCACCTTATAATAACTCATCTAATAAACAAAGCGGAAATCATTTTAATTCATTGAAGCTTAAGAAACAAAACCGTTTGATAGCAGAAGCTCATCTAAACAACTTACATCAGTCATCTCCGCAGACAAATGCAGCTCATTCAATCCCGTAACTTCTTCCAAATAGTTACCACTATTGAATACATCCAGTAGGAATGTTATACCTTCTTCTTTGTACTTGTTTATCACTGTTTCAGAGCATGCTATGCACTGTTTGAATTTGGCACATGTTGGTGCAACTGTTTGGTATGAGTGGAGAAATCCTCTAATGGAATGAGGTATTGGACCGAGGACTCCTTGCATCTCTGGCGGTACGTCTTCCGTGTCGCTGTTTAAATTGTACACTGCTGGAGCGTTTATTCTGGAAAATTATATAATATTGAATACTCCCAGTGTATGATAACCCTTATGTTAGTAGTTTCTCTAAAACTCCTGTATCAATTTAACAAATACTTATGGTATATTTAGGGGCTGCCTCCACGAGCGAGAGAATCGCGACGAGTCCGCCCTTATATCGTCGGATAATGTCCACGAACGAGCGATAATTCCGCCGCGTATCGTCGCGAGTCGTTACGGTATCGCGGCGACTCGTAACGGTATCGCGGCGACTCGTAACGGTATCGCCGCGTTTCCTTGGCGTCATTTTGCTGTCTAGTCTAGAAACGTCTTCGCTTAACGAGAGGCAATGCTGGAATGACGCTGCGTTTGACAGCGCGCCCGGTCGCGTTGCTAGTCGCGGCGGGCTAGCGACGATGTAATGACGTTTTGCGCGCTCGTTGCCACTCGTCACATCGCCGCGATTCTCTCGCTCGTGGAGACAGCCCCTTAGTAAATAACTCTTGTAGAAGTAATTCGCCAGGATGTAGATGGACCATTAGGTTTCCCAGTCCCATTTAGAAGCTAGAAGTAGGAGCTACAAGCTTTTTACCTTGGCTACCGAGTGGATTATTCATAGGTTCAAGTACGATATTTACCTCAGAGGATGTTGTAATAAACCGACTAGAATCTCTACAGCCAGAGCGCCAGCTATCGCGGCCACGCCAGGGCGAGTCACCGTACATTGTTGATCTAATGTACGATCTTTTAAAGACTGGAAATAAGAGAAGAAAATTCTGGTTATTTTTCAAAGGAATCACAACCTTTATTATTTAATATAATGTCTAAAATCTATTGAAGAAACGCTACTTTATTTCTACTCTTGATAGTAGGTACAGAATTAAAAGTAACAGCGTACAATTATATTTTTACTATGATATTAATTAAGCCACAAAACAAAAGTACGTCTAACAGCTCATTTTTTCTAGCAAATCAAAAGAAGTCACTCACATTGCCAGGAGCAGTGACATCGTTACAGAAGTAACACCCAAGACTGTTTCCAGATATGAAAGCGGTGCCAACAGATGGTGATTCTTCTGGAGGTGAACCAGCTATACCATGCCGCATTACTAGGTAGCTGTCGAATCCTAGAGCCGCGTTGATGACTATCTGAAAAGGGAATACAATGATAAATTAATATTTTATTTGTCTACCCAAATTAATCGCACCGCAAGGGACTGCAGAGGACAGGGGCCCTTGTGCACCAAGTGACGCTTGCACCAGACTAGAATAATGAAGAGAAAAACTAAGAAGAAAACTCAAATTAAACAATGAGTAAGTAACATCACGGCTATAGCAGAATAAAATACTTCCGTTTTTTCCTACCGCTACCCTCTCTGCGGGTCTCACCTGCCAAACGTGGAGATTTTGCCAAACCCCGAACATTACCCACTACTGGAAAAATATATTCTACCATAGGGTTTCTATATA